GGCATTACTGAAACTATAAAAGTGTGTATCAATACTGTTTCCCTGAATTTGGTAATTACAGTGTGATCATAAAAGAGAACACCCTTGCTTTTAGGAAATATGCAACTAAAATATTAAAGGGTAAAGGGTCATACTCTGAAATAGCCCATAAAAACCAAATTATGTGCCCTAACAGGTTTTGCTTAGTGGGTAAAGCGTTGGCCCGCGGACTGAAGGGTACAGAGTTTGATTCTGGTCAAGGGCATGTACCTTGGTTGCAGGCTCGATCCCCGGCCCTGGTTGGGACACGTGCGGGAAGCAACCAATTGATGTGTCTCTCTCACATTGATGTTTCTCTCTGTTTCTCCCACTCTCTTTAAAAATCAATGGAAAAATATCCTCAAGTAAGGATTTAAAAAAACTATTAAAAATTATGCATATATTATATATATATATCGCTTAAATGTCCATCAAAAGACATAATAAGCCCAGTCGGTGTGGCTCAGTGGTTGAGCGTCGACCTATGAATCAAGAGGTCACAGTTCGATTCTAGGTCTCAGCACATGCCCAGGTTGTGGGTTCGATCCCCGAAAGGAAGTGTGCAGGAGGCAGCTGATTGATGATTCTCTCTCACCACTGATGTTTCTCTCTCTCTCCCTCTCCTTTCTTTGAAATCAATAAAAATATATTTTAAAAAATTAATTCTGAAATAAAGGCAGGATGGGATGGAACCAACAGGCCAAGGCATATCTCAATCATATATAGAGAGGATCTGAAGGAAGCTTGTCTTTGAGATTCCTATGGGACATCGATGCCCACTCCATCCCCACCTAACAGACTTAGCTCTAAATTATAAAGTGCATTTATGTTCCTCTAAGTAATGTTCTATCCTCCCCCACAACATGCTCATTCATTTTTTTTCCCTCATTATAAAAGTAATTCACTCTTAGAGAATCTTAAAAGCATAGAAATGTTTAAAGAAGAAAAGGCTTCCACAATCTTCCACAGAGGCACTGCTGATAGTTTAGAGCAGGTTCTTCTGTTCTTTTTCTATGGATACATAGATAATTTATACACAGGTAAAATTGCTTTTGCTATAAACAGTTTTTTGTCTTTTATTTTTAACTTAAGAGTTAGTCATTTTAAGGTAATTGTTTATACGCTACTGTTTATTTCAAGAAGACCCATAAAGAGGGGAAAACATAACCTCCCTAAAGGACCTACCTTACCAGATCTTCTCTGAAGAGGTCCCACCGTCCAAGACCCGTAGGATAAATTGGCCAAACAGCGGGTCCCCCTTCCCAAAAGGTCCAAGCAGGATACATGATATCATGGTACTCTGATGTCTTCAATAGAAACAGAAAGGTCATTCTAAATCAGTTGCACAACAGAGGGAAAAGCAGCCAACTGCATTCATGCCACAGGATCTGGACCAAGGCCTTGCAAGCCCTAGTGCCACATTGTCAAAGATAAAGCTGCCCTAGTCTGCGAAGTGTAGACTCCAGTCATTAAAGGACAAAAATGACCACGAGTTAAAATTCATGGATTTGAAATTGCACTGAAGGCCAACTTTCCCAGTTCCCCAAAGTTCCGTTTTTCTAGAGGACATCCACTGTCAGGGTTTTTAGTTTAAGGAAATAATATACACAATTCTGAATGATTACATAGCTCTCTCATCTTTTAGCTGCTATTACACTTGGAGTGTATACTGACTCACCCGTTCTTGGTTATTTCCTAGATGGGTCTTTTGAGAGCAAGAATTAGGAAATACAATGCAGTGGTTTAGAATGTGGGCTTTTGAGACAGATCATCTGAATCTGAATGCTGACTCCACCTCTTTTCAGCTCTAGACAAGTTACTTAATCTTTCTACGCCCAGTTTCCTTATCTTTATAATGGGAGAAATAATATCAATAATACTATCTATATAATAGGCTTGTTTTGCATATTAAATGAGCTATACATGTAAAAAGTTTAGAACAGCATCTGACACATACTGGGTACTCAGTAAGTGTCAGTGCTACTCAACACTGTGGCACCGTTGAACTCACATTGGTTGGTCAATAAATTCTTGGTTACTCATCTATGAGGGTTAGAAGTGCTGATGGGCAGAATGGGGTAAGAGGTGTTACCCCACATCTTTTGAAAAAAGTTTTGAAACCATTTGTTTCCTTTTTATGGTTATTTCTGTTAAAACTCTGGCCACTCACCCTTGTTGGGTTAGAGCATTATTTGGATATGTCAAGTTGTGGGTTCAATCCCCAGTCAGGGCACATGCAAGCAACCAATGAATGAAGAAATAAGTGGAACAACAAATCGATGTTTCTCTTTCTCTCTCCCCAGCCCCTTCTCTGAAAAGAAAAAAATTTTGGGCCACTGATAAACCTCTTACGCTACTGTTTCTTCCATTGGAATCACACATGCAATATGCTGTATGGCATTCTCTCAAATACTTAAAAATGTATTTGAGCAGCATAGCTGCTCATAGAGATGCACAATTACTATAAAGTGACAGTCTAAATGCCTCCTTTGGCCCTAGCCG